TTAGCGTGTGCGGGCTAGGTTTCTATGCGTTATTATTCTAAGGTGTAGATATAATATACTTACTGGCTAACACAGCAAGCTGTAGACATTCAGTAAACATAGTAAAGACAAACGAAAGTCTGAAGGGGCTACATCGGCCACATGCAGTGGAAGAAGTGACACATCCCTACCTTTGCTTTGTAAAGAATTGTGTGTTGTCGTTTTGGGTGTTTTTTTGTTGAATTGTAAAATTAAAATTGTCCCGCCTATTTTTAAAATGCGCGCTAAATTATTATTTTTAAAATAACCACCGACAATGTAACATTTTCAAAGGAAAAACGTTTTTTTTTATGGCATAAACCACACTGACTTTTTGACCAACCCATTTTCTTTTTTTTTAATAAGTGCGCATCTTGAAAAAAATATGATATACATACTTGTAATATAAAGCGCAGGTATTTCTTATCTAACCTTTAGGTTAGGCGTATACCGCATATGCGAAAGACGTGGCCTGACTACAGATTCAAACGGACGAACATCTTTAATAAAAGGTGCAGTGGCGGCGGGCGTCGGTGGGGCAATGGGCTCAATAGCAGGAACACCGTTCTTTCTAGTAAAGACCAGGCTCCAGGCGCAAGCTGCTAGGGCTATTGCTGTGGGACACCAGCACAAACACAGCGGAATGATTGACGCCTTGAGAGACATTTATGTTAAAGAGGGATTTAAAGGTAACTGAGTTATGGAAGAAGGTAGTTCACGTGATCATCCAAAGGAGGCGATTTTTCCACAGTAATACTTTTTTATAATTGTTCTATAGAATAAACTATTTTAAAAATACATTTTAAGTAACATCAATGTAACCATTGACTTACAATTATATGGACGTCGGGTCCGCGCTAAAAAGTGTCCGAACTTATAGGGCGTTAAAATCGTATACAGAGCGTCATTCACGCTTTAGTCTTTGTTTGTTCGACTGACGGCGAAGCAAGCAAAATTAGACAGTACTGCGATGACATTACAATTAAAATTCAACGTTTTAGCTTCTTCATATTCCTTTACATGTCACTACGTTTAAATAGGTTGACTCGGGACATTTTTTTCGTGGTTTTTGTATTAGACCCGTCGTCCATTTATTTGTAAGTCAATGAATGTAACAGTCAATTTTGCAGATCTTTGTGCCAAATGGAAGTTGGAACACTTTTGGGGATTTTTTTTATCAGAAAATTATAACTTTTTTACAAAAAAGTCCCAAAAAGTGTTCCAACTTCTGTTCCGGTAACCGATTTCAATAAAACTTGGCAAATAGATGTAATTTTTGAGGTTTCACTTTTGAGGTTTTTTAATAACTTTTTTATTTAAAAAGCCGACCTCAACCTTTCGTGGAATTACATCTATTTGCCATTTTATTGAAATCGGTTACCGGAAGTGCGCGAAACCGGATTCATCCCCTAACTTGCCACACTTAGAGGCGGAATATTTTCTTTAACTTTAAATGGGACCAATACAGAGGTATCCTCTTTCCAACAAAAAAGAATCATCGAAATCGGTTCACAAATGCCGGAGAAGTAATCGCGTGACATACACAAAAAACAGTCCAATTAAGAACCTCCTTCTTTTTTAAGTCGGTTCAAAGCTGGCTGGTGCGTGTCACTTCAACGCGCTTCTAAATATTGCATGAACGCGACTGCAGCACTTCTACAAGAGCGTCAAATTTGAAAGCGCCCTTATAATGCAATAATAAAATATGAGAATTCGACTGTAGAAATCATTGACTTACAAATATATGGACGACGGGTCTAATACAAAAACCACGAAAAAATGTCCCAAGTCAACCTATTTAAACGTAGTGACATATAAAGGAATATGAAAAAGCTAAAACGTTGACTTAAATTGTAATGTCATCGCAGTACTGTCTAATTTTGCTTGCTTCGCTGTCAGTCGAACAAACGAAGACTAAAGCGTGAATGACGCTCTGTATACGATTTTAACGCCCTATAAGTTCGGACACTTTTTAGCGCGGACCCGACGTCCATATAATTGTAAGTCAATGGTAGAAATCCTTGAATAAGAATAAATTCTTAACAAATACGGAAGATTTCGTTATATAACAACGTAATTTTGTAAAAAAAATTAATACCAATCTTTATTTTGAAGTCTAGCTGCCTCTAACTAAAAAAAAAAACTTTGCAACATGACTTTAGATCGTTCGCGGATTTCTCATACTGACACTGGCGATGATCGCCATAATTTTTGTATTATTCTTATAAAAAGGAAATAATTTTAACATTACTTTTTTAGTCACCTGCTTGTATTCGGTTTTCTGAAATTATTTCCACCAATTTCTTCAGGTCTATTTCGAGGTGTGCAACCTCAAATACCTCGGGGCGCAGTCGGCAGCAGCTCTCAAATGGTTAGCTTCGCTTACGCCAAAGAAACCCTTCACGAGAAAGGTTTCTTCACTAACTCACCCTTGCTGCTGTCATTTTTCGGAGCCAACCTTGGTGGCGTCGTGATGACATTTTGTCTGAATCCGTTTGATGTCGTCGCTACAAGATTGTCTAACCAACGTAAGTACTTGGCACTTTTTTGTTAAAAAAAAAAAAAAAAAGGTATCTTACTATTATGTCTCTTTCAAAAAATTGGTTTGGTTTTTTTAACCGACTTCAAAAAAGGAGGAGGTTCTCAATTCGACTGTATGTTCTTTTTTGTTTATATGTTACGCGATAACTCCGGTATTTGTGAACCGATTTTCATGATTCTTTTCCACCTCTAAGGGTGGCTGTTCACGCATGAAGATTCATTTTTATAAATAGCGCCTAAACTTTAATTTAGGAGCAATTATTTTAATGGTTGATTTTGCTATTTCTTCAATTCAAGGCGTTTTTCTCTCAATATATACTTTGAGTAGTGAGAACCGATTTTTGTTATCTCCAGTGCCAAGTATATAGTGGCGAACTAGGGGATAATTTAAAAAAAATTAGCAAATAGACGTAATTCCACGTACTTTTGAGGTCAGTTTTTTTAGTACTCTGTACTGAGATTATTATATTACCAAGTGACGGGACGAACAAGCCGCGCACCTGGTAGATAGCCACATGCCTGACCATAACAGTTGTAGTGTTACTCAGTGCTTTAAATCATTAAGACCTGGGGGCACTGCGCCCGTCACCCTGAGACATAAGTTGACAAGTCTCATGTGCACGGAACACAGCAATGTGACCATTACTGCTTAGCGGTAGAAATAGGTAAGGTCTTGCAAGGAGCTCTACTGCTGCTCAACTGGTACTAAGTCTATCAATTGATTTAGTGCAGTTTCAAAATGCCTGGAACATGTATAGCGGGCATCGACCTCGCTATCTTCTGCTTTTAATTCTTCAAAAAATAGTCAGCAGTTCTAAACAAGTTACTAGCAATAAAGCTCCTTGTGAAAGAGTTCATCCAAGGAAGTAGTACATTACCTATTTCTGCCGCAAAGCAGTAATGTCAGCATTACTGAGTTTCGGTTTTGAAGGCTAAGGGTGCTAGTGAAATTATAGACACGTGAGACTTCTTAACATATATCTCAGGAAATCAGGCACTGTGGCTGTGCATCTCAGATCTTTGTAATTTAAAGCTCTGAGTGACACTGCAACTGTTATGGATGGACAGTCGTGTCGTTTACCACCAGGCGCACGACTTGTTTGTCCCGTCACTTCGTATAAAAAAAAACAAAGACAGTCATATGGAACTATATCTTTAATTAAGCCCTTGACTTTAACCTTTTTTGAGGAGACATCTGTGTGTCAGTGGAACGTAAATGAGTTGATACAGATGCTACATAGATTCATGCAACTGCTTATTTCCTCTATCCCCTAGCGGTGGACGCACACAACCAAGGCAAACTCTACAAGGGAATGCTCGACTGTTTTTACAAAATGATAACCAAAGAAGGTGCCTCCTCATTATACAAAGGAGTTCTCGCCAACTACATGAGGTTAGGGCCTCATACGGTGCTGCTTTTGGTGTGTTGGGACCAGCTCAAGATCCTTGAAGACTATTTGAGAAGGTGACAAAGGTGATAGAATTAGTTTTAGGGGTTTATTCTCGTTAACTACAAGGTTCCGTCCTTCATAATTTTGCCAAAGATGGCCTAGGGTCCTGGGATTTTAAACCGTAGACTTAACATTTAATACCAGGAATGCATAACATAAGAGCGCCTTCAAATTAGACGCTTATAAAAGTACTGAAATGGCGCGGCAACTGCTGCCACTCCTATTTTCATACTACAATGTCTGGAAGCGTAGTCACTTAGTAGCCACTTTTTAACCGACTTCAAAAAAGGAGGAGGTTCTCAATTCGTCTGTAAGTTTTTTTTTGTATGTATGTTACGCGATAACCCCGCCATTTGTGAACCAATTTTGATGATTCTTTTTTTGTTGGAAAGAAGGTACCTCAGATGTGGTCCGATTTAAATTTAAAGAAAATATTCCACCTCTAAGGGTGGCAAACTAGGGGATGAATGACTTTTGAGGTCGGTTTTTTTAGGTTAAGTTATGCAGTAAAGAGATAGTGCAGTAAGGCCTAACGCGCGACTGCCACGCTTCTATAAGTGTCTAATTTGAATTTCATTCAAAACATTTTAGGTTAAATAAAAAATATAATCTGTCGTTTTCGAAGACGGAGTAAAATGACATTTGTAGGGTTGCCAATTTTCATAAAATTTTAAATAGTACTTATGTGTTATGTACTTGTTGTATATTGAATTAAAATGAAAACCTTTAAAATATGTCACCTCTTAGTATTTTTCATAAACAGTTCTAAATACAGTGTATGTATGTACGTGTATGAAGTTACAAAAATTGACAATTCAAATGAACTTTTGCTCAGTAATTGGATGAATAATGGTTCGAGGATAATTCACATGAAATAATTTAGGCTATTTATTCCATAAGCGTGACCAATATTCAGTCGATAGTCGATAGAATATTTATCGACCGCAATCACTAGCTGCTTGCAAGCGGGCAACACTTTTGCACAATTAACTGTCATTTTACTCCATCTTTAGAAAAGACAGACTATAACTTGACACGGACAGCCTTTAAACTTTCACTTATCACTTAGAGTCTATACATCCTCGAAGGTCTATGCGGTGTGTAGACACGATTCCTACAAATTTTCACGATAGAAAAAAACACATACTTACCTCGAAATTTTACTACAAAACCGTATTCAATAGGTACTTTACATGTACCAATGTTTTTTTATATATCAACTGAACGAAATGGGACACGTATACTGTACGATATACATATTTCAAGTGGCAATTTCTTTTGTACAAAAATAAATTCTGAAATAATAAAGCCACGTATAAAAATAGTTTATGTGAAGACTGAAAGTTGGCGATGTTGAGTCTAACCTTTTTATCGACATTACTCAATTGTATTTTCTAATAGGTTTTAATTCCTATGTTTATTTTATTATTTAAAAGCTCGTTACAGAACATGATTCCACTTCCATTATTGAAGTTAATGTTACCTGATTAAAAGTTGCTATGAATTATGTAGTTATAATTTTTAAGTCTTCCATGTTACAAAAGTAAGTAAAGATATTGAAATATTGTTATTTTGTTGTATTTTGTAGGTACTTTTTACTGTTTTTTGTTTACTCTAAAACTGAACTTCGACACACGCGACTCCGACAACATATTACATCGACATGATTTTACTCAGACATTACGTTACTCCAACAACCTTACCTTACCTTACCTTTTTTGTTACCTTTTTTGTCATAGTGATCGATATATGAAATCATTTCCTACGTGGGTTTGTAATGATGATTTTTCTTATCAGAGTACAAAGATTTTTTTTAATAAACACCTCGTCTGTGTTGTCGATGTAGTGCAGTGTCTGAGTAAAATCATGTCGATGTACAACGTAGTGTCTGAGTAAAATAATGTCGGAGTAACGTAATGTCTGAGTAAAATCATGTCGATGTAACATGTTGTCGGAGTCACGTGTGTCGAAGTTCAGTTTTAGAGTCTTTTTTTTTTATTAAACCAACATTAACTTTTTTAAATGTTTTATTAAGACTGTGAATGTGTGTTACGGCTTTGTATTTTTCCTGTACCTAATTGTTTTTTTATATATTACATAGGTAGTTATCTTGTTTAATTGACTTGTTGAATAATAATTGTTTATTTTACTAAAAGGTGTTTTCATGAGTATCAGTTATCAATCACCACAAAATAATTATAGCAATATACACACACTGAGCATACAAAGCCCATTTAATCGGTCTTCGATCATAGCTCTCTCAGTCACGTTTTTACGCGTCTGAGTGTGCTGAATAACCTTTGAATTGTAGCAGTGGAATAATTAACGCATTCCACTTTTCCCTACAACACCGGCACTGGTTGGGATGAATAAAATTTCATTTCCACTTATCCCTATCAATAAAATCTTGACGTATACGGTACATATCGAGTTCTTAGGTTTTCGCGATTGTTATACATAGGAATGAAACTATTTTTCCGGATTTAAATCGCGTATATTTGTTTTTTCAAACAAACCGACGTTTCGGGCCCTTTACAGGTCCCATAGTCACGGTTGACTGAGGTACAGTCTTCAACCAGTTATGTCTAATATTGATGCAAACCACCCTATTTTTTCACTATAGTTACAATAGTTATTAATTAAATACCTTATTTTTAATTTTACAAAGAAAACATTCCAATTTACGCTACATTAAGTTTTACAAATTATTTTATTGAATGAATTTTTTATTAAGTTTAATTTATTATTAATTATTAATAGAAATTAGAATAAATTAAAACATATTAATTAGTACTGCAGTCTTATGTCTGTTTGGGATTTTTCATTAGAGGAAATACTGGATCCCAAACTGGTGGTACGGAGAAACCATCTTCCCTGTTTAAATTAGGATGTTTTTTTAATTTCAATGGCCTCTCGCAACATCCTGGGTAGATAACGGACTTCTTTTGCAAGGACCTGGGGTTTGTCAAACTTCATTGAATGTGTAGGTTTGTCCATGACATGCTCGCAGACTGCAGACTTGTTTACGCGACGGTGTTTGACATCAGCTATATGTTCTTTGACGCGGGTACAAATACTTCGCTTTGTTTGTCCAATATAAGAGAGACCGCACTCACAGTCAAGCTTGTAAACTCCTGCATCCTGTAAGGGGATGTTACATTTCACGGGTCTCAGGAACTGAGAAATCTTCCTCAGGGGCTTGAAATAGGTCTTGATAGATGCGCGCCTGAGGACTCTTCCGATCTTGTCTGTAACACCTCTCACGTAAGGTAAGATGGCAGGTCTTCGCTCGACTGTTGGTGGTTTCACACGGGCTCTGCGGCATTGGCGTGGAATCCTCAACTTATTCGCATGTAGGACTTGCTTTATATGCTGAAGTTCCCCCGCCAGATGATTACTGTCGCAGACACCATATGCTCTCTGAAACAAAGATTTGCCCACGGTAGCTAACTGGCTAGGATGGTGATGGGAATTACCATTGAGGTACCTATCTGTATGGGTTTTCTTTCGAAATACAGTATGGCCTAAGGTGTTATTAGGATTTCTTTTAATTAAAACATCTAAGAAAGCTAAAGTACCACAATTCTCTTGTTCCATAGTAAATTGGATCTTAGTACTAAAAGAATTAAGATGGTCCAAGAAAGAAGGTATGCTATCTTTAGGTAATATTGTGAAAGTATCATCAACGTACCGTTTGAAAATCTTCGGCCTAGCTGGGGCCATGGGTAAAACTCGCTCCTCGAAGTCTTCCATGAAAATATCGGCAACAACGGGAGATACCGGGGAGCCCATCGCTATACCGTCAAATTGTAGGTAGAATTCATTATTCCACAATAGATAGCCTGATGTTAGGCAGTGTTCTAATAATTCTGCATATTCAATGGACATATTATGTTCCCTTAGCTTCCTACGTACAATTTCAATGCAGTCTTTTACTGGTAGGTTGGTAAACAGCGACTGAACATCAAAACTGACCATGGTGTCATCATCAGTTAACCGTAGATCTTTGATTCCACTGATGAAATGGTATGAATCCTTCACATGTGTTCCCTCTCAATGGTGACAGTACCTTTGCCATGTGTTGAGCCAGTTTGTAGGTTGGTGTGTCAATCTGGCTAACTATGGGACGGAGTGGGGTGTCAGCCTTATGTATTTTTGGTAACCCATACAGTTTTGGTGGTTTCACGGCGCAGGGCACAAACGCACTTACATCAAGTTTCAGCGTATCGGAGTGCTTAGATATTAAGTTAGTTGTTGTTTTTAATATCTTGGTGGTAGGGTCTTTCTTCACCTTTTTATAAGTGCTTTCATCCGATAGTAAGTCAGTTATTTTGCTGTTATAATCTGACGTATTCATGACCACCGTCGCTTTACCTTTATCTGCACGGAGGATGACTAATTCAGGATCTTCGCGGAAGGTCTTCAGCGCGTTATATTCATCTCGAGTAAGATTCGGTCTAGGCTGTTTATTTGAGCGCAATATTGACGAAACGTCTTGGCGTATTGCCTCCAAATCTTCCTTTCTCAAGTTGTTTTTAACTAGACAATCCTCAACGTTACAAATAATTTCTTCGTATGGAGCCACTGCGTAATTCAAACCCTTTTGCAAAACTGAAAAAGCAGACTGATCTAACGTTTTGAAACGTCGGTTTGTTTGAAAAAACAAATATACGCGATTTAAATCCGGAAAGATAGTTTCATTCCTATGTATACGGTACAGTTTCGATAAAAATACCGAAAACGGGATCTCCTCATCTAGCGCCCACGTTGCTAACTGCTGAACAACGGATAATGTCGACATTTACAATGGCCCCAGAGTATCTTTGAGAGATAAGTTTAAGGAAATTAACATTTTTACACTAGCGTCACAGCACATTAATTAACATGTATTTATGTTTGGAGAAATAGTAATTTCTTTATAAAAAATAATTAATAAGAGGAATAAAAATAAACCAGCTGTTCTTGATAGTCGTATTCACAAAGTCAAATTCATTTAAGGGGCAATGTATACGCTTCTATAACAAGATTCCGGTTGATATACAAAAATTTACCATTCACGAGGTTTAAAACATAGTGGAACAAAAACTTTATACTAGACTATTATACAACTTTTGCATACTTGAATGACAAAAATCGGTGATAGTAACTGGTTTAGCTCATGGAGGTAGTCTCGGTCTCTGATGTATGAAAGCAAAAAAATATATATTGTAAAAAAAATATATCGACTCCTCCTACGTAAAGTACTGTATGTCGAAATTGCCAAGTTTACAGGGGAGTGTTTTAAAGTTCTCCGTTTCATTCGGCAAAACTCGTTGCTCACACAGAGTGATCATCTAATAGATCATCTAACCGATATCTAGGATTTTATGATAGTGAGTAATGCTAAAGTCACGTGTTATGCTTATTTCAGTGAATTAAGAACTTTAAAAGGGTCCCCTGTAAACTTGACAATTTCGACATACGATACTTTACGTGGGAGGGGTCGATGTAGAGATCGCCAAATGAATGGAAATGAAATACTCGACTATGATTCTATTTTAGCTCACATCGGGATCAATTAAAACAGCAAGTCAATATGTTATCTTTATTCATTAAAAAAAATTAAAAAAGACTACAGTTGTATAAACAATGGAACTTATTGTAAATTATGCATTGTTGCGATGCGAATTAGAGTAAACTTGTGTTTATTGTCATTTATGGAAAGTTATTTTAAATCATAGCGTTGTCTTTATTTCGCGTTCGAACCAACTGAAAAAGGCGTCAACCTTGTACAACATATGGTGCCTTCCTACGGTCCGTGAATTCACGAGTCGTGCCGCATGCCCTTGAAGTTACGGACACGCGGTGAATCCAAGGGATTAAAGACGAGTCCGCACCGGCACGGGCGGTGCAACCCGTGAATCCACGGGCCGTGGGAAGCCAGCTTTCATCGTCTGGATAATTTATTAACAAATACACCCGTCTAAGCCAACATAACGGGTTTAACCAGTTATTTACTAGACAACTAAAGTATCCGGTGTTGCGCCTTGAAAATCGAAGATATCTTACAGATGTACAACATACACAGAGGTCGACTGGAGCGAGGATACCTTATTTAGGCACGAGGTTAAAGCAGTTTAAGCACAGTGCTAGCATAGTTTAGATAATAAAGTAATAATAATAATGTTTTGGACAACACGAATTACTGGCCTCAAATTAGGGATTTCCTGAGTGCTAAAGCAACGGAATTCGCTTTGGGCCACTACCCAAAACACCTAAACCATTTTACAAAATTTCATCTCCCAAATTAGTCGTACCGGGAATTGAACCCGGAACCTCCTCATCTAGTGTCCGCAGTGCAAACCGTAAAAGGAGGATATCCTTATATCTATATATAGTTAGTTTAGATTATAGTGACCCTCCCTACCGACCCTTAGGGTATACGAGAAGCGCACTATAACCTGTGCGCGCACAGGAACCTTACAAGTTCAGGTTCCAACCCCAGATCAGCCAGTGTACAGGGTTGTCACAGACCTTTGTCACTGGACTTCATCCGGTTCTCGAGAGGCTAGTGCCTCGGGTGAGTTACCCCGGGTGCACGTACAGTACCCTCCCTGTTTTCCAGATAGGTACCGAAGCTGTAGGCACGCTCATATCCCGCTGCGCAAGCACAACTAGCGGTTCCCACCGCTGAACGGTCGACTCTAAAGTACACTACCAAATCTCACCATTTTGTTACCGAGCTGTAAGGCACGCTCACTTCCCGGACAGCATAGTTTAGGCAAGAGAACACTTAAGCAAATTTAGTCAATAAAACCTAAGCAATTTGCACCATTTACTTAACCTAATTTTATGCTGCAGAAATTGGACATTTACGTATTCGTTCTTAAACGTGAAACAGACAGAAAGCGGGTGTTGGTCGAGCGAAAGCGGATCTAATTCCGTGTACTAATTAATACACGGTATCATTATTATCGGGTCTAAACCCGCCACACGTACCCGCACTCGGTATGTTGTCGTCATATAAATACAATTGGACCCGCCGCGGTCCCGACCCGATTCGCGCCCGACCCGCACCCGCTCTCTGTGTTCTTCACTTTTTACTAGTTTCAACATAACTAAATTATAGTTAAGTTGTTACAGCCTTGTTACATTATAATAATCAGCAGAAAAGATACATGGACAGATATTCTGGACCGCAAAAGACGTGTAAGTAAACATAGCACCACTGTGATTCTGTTAAATATTTAATTGTCCTTTTGAGACGCTTTACACAGTAACACAGTTATTTTATAGAATCGACAGACTTTGAAAGCGCAGATGAACAAAATTTTCAGTAATATGAATCGGCAGCCTCTTCAATTACAGATAAACAAAATTACCCGTAATATGAATTGTTAACGTCTCGCAATAATTACTAGCATTATTGTGTGTTTATCTTATTACCATATTACAGCAGTCTAATCGAGCAAGGCAAAAGCTAGTCGTTTCTCCTAAATATTTAGCAAACTTCTGTCAATGTTGCCGTTTAAACTAGGTATTTTTACTAATTATAATAAAAAAGTTAAAACTGAGGTTGATAAATGGCAACACTGAGTCGGGAAGACAATGTCTACGGGGCTGTAAATTAAACGGGAAGACAATGTCTACGGGGCTGTAAATTAAAAATATACAGACTTTGAAGACAGTCATTGAGGCACTTAATTAATTATATTAATTAATTAATGGCACTTAATGTGCGTTTTTTAATGATATTGAGCGTACTTTATTCAACCTTCTTCGAGATTCTCTTTACAATTACATTTTTACTCGGCCCTATTACCCATAAATATAATTTGAAAAAATCTGATAAGTTTTTAGACTTATTTCAAGATCTTGTATTCAATACACAGATCCATTATACCTTTTAATAATTATTCTGTAACTTATACTCCTCGTCCACATTTTTTCTGGCTTATTGTAAAGCCTATCTTATAATAAACATATTACTACATGAATCAATAAAATTAAAACAATAGTAAATAATAGCCATTGACAAAAACACCTGCAACGTCGCATTCAACCAAACCATCCACAAATTGGAAAACTAAAATTGATAATTTTCGCGATCAAAATAAATAACAAAAAAATTATAATTGAGAATAATAATTGATCATGACAGCGTTATTAGCATTTGACTACTTATCTTCATCGAGTATATAACCAGAAATAGAGACGAAATAAGGGCTATCCATCCCTGGCAACTCAACAGGAAAATGGGCCGTATATCACTTTTAAATATCAACTCTCGTTTGCGCTGAAATCACAAATTAGACAGCTGAAATAGTACAGCGCCAACAACTGACCTGTGTGTACGTATCCGTATATTGAAAAAATATTCTGTGTTTATTGTAATAAAGATAATATCTCTAACAATGGGGGGCTGTTCCATTCGGGGTGTGAGAAAAACAGCAAAACATCTAATTACAAAACAAACGGAATCACATTTCATCGGTAATTAAACATTAAATTACGTAATTTTTCGTCCATTATAGCAAAGCTTCAGTTAAACTGGTCGATTTGAAGTAAAATAATTGACGACATCAGTCAATTGTTTCGAGTTCGGGCTGGCATCGGAGCGCAGTTGTCACCGTAATAATTTGGCAGAATAGTTTTCAAACAAATTAAGTGACATTTCGTCCATATATCTGGTTACATACTCGATGCTTATCTTTATATATGTCTCGACTACTAATGTCACTTTATAAAAACCGAGCGACGACGGTCAGATCTATTAAAAATACTTGAGAGAAAACATATTTTAAAATTTTTCGTTATAATTCAATATAAATATTGAAATCGGCCTGTTCTTATTAAAATGTATATGAATCAAAATTAATTTCGATCCTAGAAGTCCGACTGTCAAAATAAGAATAAAGAGGGCAAGAACGGAAATAAAATGTTGTAAGTTCACAATCCAGACATTTTTGTCGAAATTTTACCTGCTTTCACAAACCATCGATAAAACAGCCGAAAACAACTACCCTGCTAAAACTGGGCACACCAGGAAAACCGGAGTTAATTTATTTCCTCTAATGCCACAGTACAAGGAATTCTCCAGTTGTCGTTGCTTTGGTATCACAGTACAGAGAATTTCCTATAATTCGTCGCTCTGGTAACACAGTACAGTGAATTCTAGGACAAAAAAAGAGTTTTTGCTGTTGTGGTACCATATTACAGGGAATTTCCAAAGAACAATACCAAACTACTATATTCATTTTTGTTGTTCCGTCTTCAAAAAAGACATATAAGATTCACTTTGTGTTCGCGGATTATTTAAATTACTTTTACTAGATCTAAGTAACATGTTACTCTATTAAGTACGATTGAACTTGTGTCGTAAGCAGTTTTCGACATGTATTATGGACTTTAAAACTTTTCCCCGCGTGTCTAGGCTTCGATGTTCCTATGATTCACCTATGCTACTTTGATCCTGACAGACAACAGAGACAGCTCAGAATCTAGACATTTTAGAATACCTAGACCAGAGAGTAAGATAGGGTCAGACGCGCGATAATTCGGGTTCGAAGAGTCGTGTAGGGCGCGAACGGAAGCCGCGATTGCACAGTGCTGCTACTTTTGTTGGCGTCTTTCCTGCCGTCTCCGGGAAGTACAACCTACAATAAAACATAATTTAATAAAGTTTGCAATAAAATAACAATAAAATGAAACAAAATGACATTTCCTTTAAACTCAAATATATCTTAATTAAATTGTTATTGAATTGACATTCAATTATTTTTTGTGAAATTACTCCACTAGTTTGTTATAATTATTAATACAAAGATCGAACACTCAGAAAAAATTCCTTCGATCCGGTCGGATTCGAACCGACGTCTTCTTGCATACCGTGTCAGACGCCACGACTAAAAAGTCGTTGAAAGACCAAGTACAAAGACACGACGCAAGCACATAGAAAAATTCGTGAGGTTCGTTGGTTCGTTCCGTGGCTTAGTTGGTATAGCGTCTGGCACGGTATGCAAGAAGACGTCGGTTCGAATCCGACCGGATCGAAGGAATTTTTTCTGAGTGTTTTTTCTGAGTATTCGATCTTTGTATTAATAATCAAATATATATTGTTATGATTCTTAATACAAAGGTCGAACACTCAGAAAAAATTCCTTCGATCCAATTTTCCTGAGTGTTCGATCTTTGTATTAAAAATTATAACAAACTAGTAGAGTAATTTCACAAAAAATAATCGAATATCAATTCAATAAAAATTCAAATATATCTTTTTCATAGGAAAACAAATTACACTTGAAATAATTACAAATGTATAATATTATAAATCGACAATCTCGATGCCCTTAGCTTTATGGTTAGTATTGTGGGCGCCACAGGAAAAGGGTCTGTGTTCCATTTCCAGTGAGGCGACCTTTTTTGTTCGAGTGTTCTGGGCACACCAGGAAAACCGGAGTTAATTTATTTCCTCTAATGCCACAGTACAGGGAATTCTCCAGTTGTCGTTGCTTTGGTATCACAGTACAGAGAATTTCCTATAATTCGTCGCTCTGGTAACACAGTACAGTGAATTCTAGGACAAAAAACTAGAGTTTTGCTATTCTGGTACCACATTACAGGGAATTTCCAAAGAACAATACCAAACTACCATATACATTTTTGTTGACATAATTTGTATGCGTCTTTTTATGAAAAATATGTGAAAACATTTATAAATATAAATAATAGTTTTGGGTTTACTATTCTGAGAAGTCTGGAACTAAACATATTCCAGTTTGAAGTTTTGGAGGTTAAGTGTTAGGTAATTGAATAAAATATATTCGGTGTATTATTATATCAAAATAAACTACAGAAGCCTTAAACAGAGTTATTAGAAGCTAAATGGTGCCGTGGTTTTGTGACGTGAAAGTTCGAGGAAATTATTTTATATACTGGTGTGGTCAAAAGTCATGAAGTTAAGCCATAATAAAAAAGCTGAATTAATACATACTACAGACTATTGTACTGGTAATTCGGACACAAGTTATGTTATTGAGAAACGTGCCATCTATCCTTGATTTCGGGAACTTTTTTGTCAGTTTTACCATATTCTCGCGTGGCATTTTGGAGAAGGAATTATCTACTTCATTTTTTTTAATGAAGTAGTTAATCTCTTATTACAAATCGGTCGAATTTTTTAGACATTTGATATTACGTGAACGAACTTAATGTGGCCCATATCCATACGTAGGTACTGAAATTCTTTTTTTGGCGGATAGATGTCGCTCAACGTTAAGAAACTAAGAAACTGACAGTTGTAGATATCAGTCCGGTTACATACTAGTTAGTCATTAGAGTTTCTTTTAAATATGATTTTATTTCCAGACTTAGATAGGCGGCTATTATAATTTGAAAAACCTAATGAATTTATTTTATTTAAACTTGTAATTAAGACATTTGAAGACGCTAACGAATTCATTTAAATGTGATTTTTGCCATTGTTCTTTGAGAACAAGTAATGGGCGTGATACGTGTATGCATTAATAAATAAAAATCAGTATATTTCCTGTAAGATATCCAAATCCAAATCCAAAATATCAATATCCAAATTTTGATTTTGAAAACCTTGTTAGTACAAGCACAACAAGTACGAGTTGTACTTGTAAGTACAACTCGTCATAGTTGACGAGTAATATCGTATTCACATTGACCTGCGTATTCACAAAGCTCCTTACATGCGTCACGTATACCATAGACAAAAATAGAAGATCACATTCCGTTCCTACCATTTTTGTTGTATCAAATGTTACATACATACGTAGACGCAATTGGCGAACCTCAATCACTACGCTCTTGACAAACTTGCATCAATACTTCCTGGACTCTTTTATTTTTAAGTTTAGTGAAGCGACGTGTTCTTTAGCTCCGATATTTATCGAGCCAACAGATTATGTAACGAAGATTATTCAAGTTGATAAATTTTGTTACTTGTCTAATAAATTATAATGAAATGAAATAAATTGAACACTTGAATCCTTATTAACATTAATTATTAATACTTGAGTACCCAAATTGTCTAGCGCGACATCGAGATCCCAATCAGATAATGTTCTTTTTTGAACCGGCTCACATTCACGATTAAAACTTCTTCATTAATAAAATCGACTATTGTAAAAAATCGAATCGGAAACGCATTAGGACATCACTAATTGATTAGAATTTGAGCTGTAAAAAGTTAAATTAGAAATAGAAACCATTTATTGTAACGCCACATTATAAAATAAAACACAAAAACAAAGACTAATATAACTAAAACAGAAATAACACAAAGAACAGCGTAAAAACATTTCAACAACAAGTTGCATAATACTATACTGACATGTGTGCGGCTGTGGCGTGTACAAAAGGATCCCATTCAGCTAAAGTCACAACCAAGGCTAGGTTGTGACGCTGGTTTTCAATGGGCCCTAGCCGAGTGAATGAGAGTGACAGACGTATGCGTCCCGGAACAGATAATAAAAAACAAAATTAATGGTTGGACGGCGTATAGTGTCAATACTTACTTCTGAAAAACGAACAGCAAAGCAGTAATCCCCGCGAAGACGAGGAACGAGAAGGGCCCCATAGTGTCGCGCATCAAAGGGAAACACATGCCAATGAGAAAATTGCCGCCCCAGTTCGCGAGGGACCCCCACGCCATGCCTGCAGGTCGGGGCGCCACTTCGAAGATCTCTGCCGTGAGAACAAATGTCCTAGGTTAGGTTTTTATATTATTTTATGACTTCCGTCATATTTCTTACAGATGTCACTACATTTTCAAAGCAGTAACACAACGTTCGTCAAGGGCAGATTACACAGGCCGGGGGGTTCTATTTGGCACCAATCAACTAACACCACATCTGTGGCGAGGCATCCATATAACTCAATTCCCACAGGCTTACCTAAAATTTTCCACGTATCATCAAATATTATAAATATTTAAAAGTAATACACTGCATTTTGTACTTAATTTTAGGTGTACAATATAGTTAACCAGTGAAATAAAGAATACTGTAGTGCGATTCACGTAAGTTCAAGCTATCAAAATATCGTTGAAGTTACGTAGTCGTTCGATCGAAGTCCTATCCAAAATTGGTATTCACGTATCACCTCAACGAACGTTGATCTGAATAGAATCGGAACGTAACTACTAGTGAACGACATCTTGGATTGTGAAATTTGACATTCAGTCATCGTAAGTCTAATGAAAGAACTGTCAAACTTGTAGTTTAGAATCAATTTAAGTCCGATTCATTTACCAGAATACGACATTCGGATCGAACGACTTTAAAATTTGACTCATTGAAGTTCGACTGTCACATGTGAACAAGAAAAAGCAGAACAACTAAATCGCTACGATATCGTAACGGTTTGTTTACGTGAATCGCACTACTAGTATCTTGTGTGCAAATGTGTTGTTTAATGTCGCCAAGGCGCCACTTGTCAAGACACTTGTTAAGACACATGTTTTTAGTTTTGCTCCGGCTTCACGAAAGACAATTTTCGCGCCCAGCCACTCCACATATTATATGTTATTTTATCCCTACCACATATTTAACCATTTTCTTGTACAAACTGATAAACACTTTTGATTTGTTCTTCCATAAGAAACCACCACTTTTTAACGATTAATGGCCACGACCCTTGTAAACCAGTTACGTATTGCCAATATATTACAATCTACTATAAATCGTTTTTAAGTTCGTCGAGATCTTCTACATATTCTACTTAGGTCTGTCGGCTACAATTCGAATAATTGATCAGTCACAGAAAAAAAATATTACAAATTATTAAAATTCAGAAGTCCGTGTTCAACTTATCTGAATTTTTTTGTCACGTCAACTTAAGATTGCTTTGAAATAATATGCTAGATAAGACTCGTGTAAACTGACCGGACGCGATGAAGTAAGGTATGGGTCCAAGGCCGAAGCCGTAGGCCAGCACGTAGCCCAAGACGGCCGCCATGCACACGCACGACATGCCCGCCACGTGCTGCAAAAGCAATAAACAAAATGTATGTTGTCTCTTTCTAACATACAGCAGCGTTAACACGACAGGGCGCAACTTGCACAAGAGCGACATATTGCTGTTGTCTATTCGAGACTACAGGGTGTTATTGACATAGTATATTAAAACAAGTAATGTAACTCCGCCTAACAACGACCTCGGTGGTCTAACGGTAACAGTAGAGCTTTTGAGAGAGTTCGTCCAGGGAAGTACTACCACGTTAACTATTTCAGCCACCAAGCCGTAATGTGAGCATTACTGCGTTCCGGTTTCGAAGGGTAAGAGTGCTTGTGAAATTACAGGCACATGGGACTTGTCAACTTGTCTCAGGGTGACGGGCACAGTACCCCTAAGATCTTTGCGATTAAAAGCTCTGTAAGGCACTGCAACTGTTATAGATAGGCGTGTCGCTGTGATACTATAAAAAAAATTGCATTTTGAAAATTTGGAATTTGAAATTTTGGACAGGAAAATGAATAGCCTTTTCTCAGACTTTGCCGCGCTCATAACAACTGACATAATCATCTCAAAGTCTGCATTGCATTGCATTTTATCATGCACTTATAATTGGGAAATTATATCGCTTCCTCAAGTTTGTACTCATTAGTAACACATTGAAATAATAATATCAATTGTTATGGGCGGCGCAAAGGCAGAGAAAATACTATTATTTTGCTAAACAAAATTTTAAAGTAAATATAAAATTTCATGGTCTTCCTTTTAATTAAGATGCTATATTAGTTAGAAGAAAACAATCCCTATATTTGAGGCTTTTAATCAGTACAGTAAAATTACAGGTGATTTTTTTTTCACCTTTAGCGGGTTCGATTCCCCGTTCAGGCAGGCGATTATTTAAAAGTCTTTGAATGCAGTTCGAATTGTTTTTAAAATCAAAATGAACTCTTCTTTCAGTCAAATTATCACCCTGAATAACGTCGTTTGTAATTATTGTTTTTTTGAATTGTATTGCAAAATGCAGACTAACCAAGTAGCTCATAGTAGCAGCGAGAGCCGTCAGTATGACCGCACTGGCGAGCACGGAGCACAGCAGCAGTGGCCTGCGGCCGACGCGAGGCAGCAGCCGCAACATCAGCAGCGCAGTGCACACGTTCACGGCGCCGCAACCGATCGTCGCGTACTGCGAGCTCAGTTCAGAAAGCCCCGCTTGCTTGAAGATCGTTTGCGAGTAGTAGAACACCTGGACAAAGATGTCAGTTTAAGGCGATCCACCGGAGGAGTTCGGGAAAACTGTTTTGCTAGATTAAATGATTTAGGTATTTATAATTAAATAAAAGTCTTACAAAAAATATACGATACACGTAAGGGTATTGTCTACAAAACGGGCTAATTTGTTACACGATATGATGTACTTTATCCGATCATATAAAATTCTAAAAACAGGCTGAAGTAAAAGTTTAAAACGAATAATATAAAAATAGTATTTTTTTTATATAATATCAAGTGATGAGACGAACAAATTGGGATAAATGTAATTCAGTTGAGAACCAAAATTTAGCCGGTTACCTGAAGTACTTAAAGAGAAACATCTTCATATAAAAATTATGTACAGTCGTATACACAAGATACCTGACCCCCCAAGCCGTATTTGTCGACCTTTGATTCTGAGCACAAAAATGTGGAGAAAATTGTTAAACAAACTTAATTTTAAACCTGTGAGCTGTAAAATTTTTTTTGATATGACTCCCTGGTCGTCTCATTAGTGAATGACATTGTAAGAAAGTTTTTAAGCCAATTTGATCTTTAACGTATAGTTCTTACTTAAATACAGAACGCAAATTTCAACCAGCTTTAGTAAGGCCGTCGTGGCCTAGCGGTATAAGGATTGCTTTGCAAGTTGAGGCAAGCATGGTTCGAGTCACATTCAAAATAAAGTATTATTTAGCTATGACTATATAATATTGTATTTTTTTAACCTCTGGATAGGTGTAAGAAATGTCTAAGTCTTGTTCATACAGAACAATAATTTCTAATTTTAATAATTCCGTTAAGTGCGGCATATCAAAACAAAAAAGAAAACTTAAAAAGTTATAACGTTGAAAGTAATTAAAACTGAATAGATAAATGGGAACGAAACGTGGAACAACGCGTAAGCACAGAAGACACGATCGAATACAAACTGCAGAGCGATTTCGTGATATGTTCTCTCCATACCCACCCCACGCTTTATTAATAATATCTAAAGGCAATTTCTAGTGAGCAAATATTTGATTTGTTAACGTTAACATTAAAAAGTGAAACAATGCTGTTTAAAATAAAACAAAATAGTGCTCGTGGAATCGAACCACGGATATTGTAACTGACAGACGATACAACAAGACGCTCGACCAATTGGATGTTAAATGACGAAATTTAGTATTGGCTTTAAAAATATGTTGATCATCTTCAAGCAACATTCCACTGTATTGCTTATACAATAAAGTTGAAAATGCTTTTATTTTTTGTTTGTTCAATACGTAAGATGGCTCTCAGAACCAAAAAGGTCGGTTTGGGCATGTTAGGGGATCAGGTATCTCATGTATTTGACTGTACAAAGTTAATAGCAGTAGAGCTCTTTGTGAAAGAAATTGTCCAGGGAAGTACTGCCACCTTAACTATTTCTGCTGCCAAGCAGTAATTACTGCGTTTCGGTTTAGAACGGTAAGGGTGCTGCTGAAATTACAGGCACATGGGACTTGTCAACTTATTTATGTCTCCGGGTGACGGGCGCTGTGGCAGTGCCCATAAGATTTAAAGCTCTAAAAAATAAAAAATAAAAAATTCATTCGATCCAGCTGGATTCGAAACAAGCGTCTTCAGTTCATTCATTCATTTCAACTTTTCTCTGTGTTCGATCTTTGTATTAATAATTATAATAAATAATAAGGTTTCGGATTTCGTTCAATATGATTCATTTATCTCATCTGAAGAATTAACTCTTGGATTCCTTCAAAATGTGCGAGGGCACCAGATATGGCAAGAGAATAGTTACCGCGTTAATGCCGCTGGTCTGCTGGCCGGCCTGCATAGAGCAGACAAGCAGCAGTGGCAGGCGCAGCTGCGGGTCCAGTAGGACCCTCATCATGGTCCACTGCTCCGAGTTTACAGCCTGCGCCTGCGCAGCGCGGAGCTCTTCACGCAGTTTTTCTACGTCTTCCGTTAGGATTGACGCTGAGACGCCGCGAAGGCGGCTTAATTCTGAAAATAGAAAATTTAATTAAAGAATAAAAAGGGATAGGACTTATGTAAGTATCAACAATAGTAGATACGAATTGCCATTACTGAACCACAGGCACATAGTGAAAATGGACTCCAAAGCCCTAGTCAAAGGGTTAATAACCCAACGCTCATTTTGTCGAGAAGTCACGGAGTTCAAGTTCGCCTGGCAAGGTTGTGGCCAGTTTGTAACGAGCTAAGGCCCACCGCTCTTTTGCATTAAAACCTTCTCAACTCACCTTTTAAAGCAGTTTGTTCATTTCTCTTAACTACGAATAGGTACTTCGGACTTTCAGGTAACATAAACAGTAGAGGTAAACAAATAATGACTAGCAATGCATAGACGGATAACAGGTAGGGCCAGTCGTCGTCACCGCCTGTAACAAACATTTACGAAAATTTGAAAAAAATTACTTACATGTAGTATATTCTTTATCTAGGGACTAAAACGAGTACTTTCAACTGTAGGTACGTACTGTTGCCGCGCTGATCCGCCACGCGTAGGTCCCGGGTGGGGAGGAATATTTGTATGCTCTTCATTTATTTCTCTCGTGAGTTTGGGTGTAATTTGTGGTTGTCTATGTGTGTCCATGGCACCCGCGACACAGGGTTTCCCTAGTGCGGGGCTATGAGTGTGTGCATTATTATTATTATCGATACCTCCAATGAACAATACGCCATCTTTATTTTTTGGTTATTTTCTGTAATTTTTGTAAACAACCATATTTATTTACTAATACTGTGCTCCCCAAATTTTGTGAAAAAAAAATCCAAAAATTAGTTGGCGTAGTGTTTATTGGAGGTATCGTTATTAAGCTGATCCCATATAAAATATATAACAATAATAAAAATATCATATATCACAGAACAATAAATACAGTAGAAGTGTTAAGTTAGCGTCTGACATGTGCCAACTAGGTCAGTCCGCCATTTTCGCTTTGTATGATATGGTTGTGTCACTTTCGAAAAATTATCTAAAATTCTAAAAAAAGTGTTTTATTGTGCTGTTTTGGAGTGCAAAAATGATTGCCGCACCAAAAATATTACCTATAGTTAGAGATGGGTCATGGATAAATATCATTGGAATAAATACTCAGGATAAATATCCATTTTTACTCGATATTTATCCAAAAACGTGGATAAATATTTTTAATCGTGGTTTATAATTATATTTAGTAAAACAAAGCATATTTTTAAAACACTTTGTGTACCTTCACAATTATAAACATTTATTTTTTATATCACGTGTTTTAATTAATAGATTTTGTGTGTGAAATGTGAAAGAGAATCCTTAGGTTATTTCAAATCCAAACATGACTTTATTTAGTACGCAGTAGACACCACGACCATAAAGGTGGGTCGCACTTTATTAACACAGGATAGGTCACATCAACAAGGGTTACAGTCAATTTGATAACTTTCCGTCAATCGAATTTTTTATACCACTCGACTTGAAAAACGTTGGTAGAACAGTGTTGTTACATAACAGAATGGCAAAAACGTAATTATTTAATAAAAAATGAATTCTAATGAATTTTATTATAAAAAACACAAAAAATAATTATCGATGTTTTAGGATAAAATGATATTTATCCTTAGACGGATATTTATGTTAGTGTATCTGAAATGTTTTTGTTAGCACGTACGGACGGGTTTGCTGCTGTGCTTAGAAAGAGGGTTTCTTCTCTTAGACAGAGAGTGCTAGATAGTACCAATAGCATTATAGCTGCTATAGCTCGTAGTTGCGACTCGTCCATACTGAGACATTGGATTTCAATTATTAATAATTAAGTACCTATATATAATATCTAATTCTAATTTAACATTATTCTAATTCTATGGATTTGTTATGTCTGAAATAAATTATTATTATTATTATTTATCGAGTAAAACCCCATCTCTACCCATAGTGGTACTTTATATCATCGGACAGTCTTATTTTAATAAATGTTCAATTTACTATTTATCGAAATATTTTTTTGTTACAAGAAAACAAAAGTAAAGCTTATACCCCTGCAATATGGTATCTTCTTGTTTGGAAAATTAAATTAATAACTAAAACTCGTCGTCGTTCAGCAATGAACCGCTAGATGGCAGCACATTGATTATAATTTCAATATAAAATCAAAACGTCGTAACTTGTGATAATAGGTATCGATAATATTGAAATTTCAATGATATGCAAGGTAAAGTTTAAATTATATTAACAATACAGAATTTGTAATTTCTTTTTAACTTTTTAACTACCAACAATCAATATTAAGATTTTGTAATGTTTCGGATTCGCTCTGGACCTTTTGGAGGGAAAAGTGTCGTTTTTATTTTGACTTTCAATTATTTTGTGAAATCTAGTTTAAAGTGGAATAGGATAGTGCTATTGTGCCTTAATCGAAGATTAAAACGCGAAATTATACGAATCTCGAACTAAAATACACTTATCGGCCCGTTTTAAGAAACCCCGAGTCAATCCAAGCACGCCGCCTCAAATTGCCTATCCTCTTTGTGGCGGCCATATTTACAGAAACATAATTAAACTTCATGTTTAGGCTGATGGCTTTGCCAAAGCCTTAATAAATTTAAAAAAAAAATTTTGTAATGTTTCAAATTAAGAATGTATTAGTTTTGGCGACATCGGTTTTGATAGTAATCGAGGCATATAGCACTTCCATTGTTTTTTTTTCTTCCGTGATCCATAATAAATGACATATTATTATTATTATTTGTTTTTAATCTTAGGTTGTCCAATTATGCATTGCATGAAACTTATTTTGGATCCAGCTCTCCGGTTGACTAGTAAAGAATGCCTAAAGACATAAAGTCCGCCATTTGTACTGTTTTGTGTGCAATAAAGTAACTTACCCAATATGAACTTGAGGCCCATGATTTGACCCACGAGCACGCCCACGTTGACGCCCATGGGACAGGCCACTCCCATGGTGCCTGACAGGCTCAGCGGAGCCAGCTCCGATAGATACATTGGGACAATGCTTGTTGTTAAACCTGTCAACGTTTTACAATAACTTAGCCCTTGTACTGTCAAGTGGGTTAGGGGAATCATGCTTAACCTTATTTATCGCAAAACACTTTTTTTTAATAAGCTGGAAAGATCGATACCTTAAATGAGCACTAAGCCAACTTAATTTTAGGACCTGTTATATTTTCATTTTGGTTTTTGTTTCTTTTTTCACAAAATTAATTTATTTCTTATTTATTGAGATATTGTATCTGTGAAATAAGTTCACAAGTTTTGTTATGAATATAAAGATCCAACACACAGAATTTTTTTCTCATCAACCCAGTGTCTTTTTTTAAATTTCGTTTTTTGTTTCATTTTTATTTCTCAAACTTCGGGGAGCATATTATTAGTTAATAAATATGGCCGTTAACAAAAATAATATAAACTGATAAAAAAATAAAGTTCTAGAAATAGAGACGAAGTGAGGACCATACATCCCTGGCAATTGGGCCGTATGTCACTTTTAAATATCAACTCTCGTTTGCGCTGAAATCACAAATTAGACAGGTGATATAGTACAGCGCCAACAACTGAGCACGTCTGTGTGTACGTCTCCGTATATTCCAAAAATATTCTGTATTGATTGTAATAAAGATAATAACAGATAAGATAAATATCTCTAACAATGAGGGGCTATTCCATTCGGTGGAGTGGGAAAAACATCTAATTACAAAATAAACGGAATCACATTTCATCGGTAATTAAATATTATATATGTAATTTTTCAATTTTCGTCCATTATAGCAAAGCCCAAGATAAACTGGTCGTTTTGAAGTGAAACAATTGACGACACCCGTCGTTTCCGTCAGGATGGCTGGACCAAACGAGATATACAAATCAAACTGTGCTCATTATTTACTACCTATTGTCTACTATTTAGTACCTTTATTGACATATGTTCTAGCTTTGCGTTAACGAAAATATTAAAGAAATAGAGTGGTCAGCCATTCTGACGTCAGGTTGGCTGGACTACTTTACGTTTTTCATGGTTCTAGCAGTATATAATTTACTTTTTATATAACTATTTACTACCTAAACATACTTTTTTCTCACTATGTTAGGAAGCTTCTATAAAAAGTTATTTAAAAAAAATTATGAAACGCCTTTGCAAAAATTATCATCTAAAGAAGACAGTTTATCTTCTCCGTGTAATTGTTAATAATAGTTTTGCAGGCGCTTAGACTATGCTGCTATTGAGCACAGTTTGATTAGTATATCACGTTTGGTCCAGCCATCCTGACGGGCACCACCCGTCAGTTGTTTCGAATTCGGGCTGACCTATCGGAGCGCAGTAGTCACCGTAATGATTTAAGCGGAATAGTTTTCAAACAAATTAAGTGACATTTCGTCTCTATTTCTGGTTATATACTCTCATCGAGTATATTAGTAGTATTGGAGGTATCGAGATAGAATATCAGTTCTGGTTTTAAGTGAGTAAGCATTTTTTAAATGATTTTTATATTTGTATTTGATTCAATTTATAACACATTTCAATGTATTATGTGGTCAGTCATAGGGATCAGACGATCTCCGTGATTGAGTGGCTTGCACACCGATTTTGATGTTGTCGCCATCTCCGAGGTCCCAGGTTCGATTCCCGGCAAGTCACTGTGTATAAATTTAGAAATAACTTTTCTACATTGTTAAATACAAAGAACACAAAGAAAAAATTATCCGACCCAACAGGACTCGAACCTGCGACCACGAGATTCCGTCCCCGTTGCTTTACCAACTAAGCTAGAGGTCGAGTTTTCCTCACCACTTTCTATATTGTCTCGGGTCTAGTTACTTATTTACAGAGCAACATATGTGAAGTGGTCTCATTTTGTCTAATGAACTCACCGCCGGCTAGCCCGACTATTAGACGGCCCAAAATGAGCATCTCGACGGACTTGGCGGCGCGGCAGAACACGAATAGAAGCGCACCCACTAGAGATAACTGGCTGGTCACTATCGTCGCCTTGCGCCTGCGCATCGTCAACAAAACGGGCTTATTATTATTTCACAATTTAGTTAATTAATTTATGTAACATTACACTAACGATCTCAGTGGCCCAACGGTTTATACTTTGGACGCTGGATGAGGATGTCCCCGGTTTGATTCCCAATACGACCAAATTGAGAAAGAAACTTTTTTAAATTGGTTCTGGGCTGAGTGTTCTGGGAAGTGTCCCGGAGTGAATTACGTTGGTTTGGTACTCATAGTACTGGGAATTCCCTAGTTAAAAAACAAAGATATCTTCTGAAATATCGTATGCAACAGTCACTTGTTTATAGAAGGTGTAAAATATTTTTTAATTGAGATTTGGCTACAAGACAATCAGCTTAAAACAAACAACAAAAAATTAAGAATTGTAAATCATTCAGGTGTCTCACTCTTAAATGGACGTAGTTAAACAAAAAGGATCCAATCCACATCCACTGACTTTCGAGATATGGCAGTTTGAAGTTTAAAAGTGATTCTCACTCTTGTTTTATTTTCAAAACTTATAATGTCATGTAACTCCAGAGATATTTATTTATGTTTATATGTTGGATTTTTTGCTGATCTAAGAGATTAGACTTTAGGAACAGTTTAGTACATATAACTCATTATTTAATAATTTTGTGGAATGGATCCTTTTTGCTTAACTACGTCCAAATGATCCTTCAAATAATTTTGAAAAAGCACTCGATTACTCCATTTAATTTCGTATCTTTAACCAACCACAGAAGACCTGCATGTACGCAACTGCGCACCGCACACTCGCATATATTCTAGTGCTTCCTGGGCACATTAATTTAGTTTAAACTCTACTTTGCATTACTTCGCCATATTAACCTGTTCACCATCATCCTTACCCTTCAAAACCGGAACGCAGTAATGTCTTTTTTCATATCAAATAGAATTTAGTACATACTTCGTCGCCTTACTTTCTCAAATTCGTATCTTAAAGGACAAAGTTACTGAAATGCAAAAAATGGCTTGTATATAAAAATTTTACAGGATGATTTCACATCGCATTTCCATTCGCAGAAAGTTTTGCTCTGTTTTTATTTTCTCCTGAATAATCATTCTTTATAAGATACGAGGTTCAGAAAGTAAGGCATCGATTTATACCAATGATATTAAACTTGTAAACAAATTTGTACAGTTTTTTAAAGTCAAGTTCCAAAATAATTTCATTCCGTTCCGCATCAACGTAAATTAGCCTTATTCTATTACGACGAAAAGATAAGATACAGCTGTCAATAAATGGAGGAGCCAACCCACCTGCCAAGCTTGTTGGCAAGCACTGCGCCCAGCACGGAACCAGTACATCCTCCAATTATGAATATAGACACTATGCACGACCATAACACGTTCAGCCACCGCTCGTTCAAGGACACGTCGTATCTACTTAACAAACTTTCGCTGCAAAAGCTCTTTATAACCTGCAAATAAATTTTAAAAGTTTATTAGTAAATGAGTAGCACCGATTTATTTATATAAGTATTAAAACCCACATTGTAGTATTTAGTTAAGGTATTCTGGCAACCTCAACGAAAAGACAGACCGGTTGGCTGCGATAGTGTGACTATTCATAAAGTTAATTGGTACAACAAAAATGCTACCGCAAGTAATGTCGTGGCATGTGTTTGTATCACAAAACATACCCAAACGTTTCGAGTTCTTAGGTTTTCGCGATTGTTACACATAGGAAATGAAACTATTTTTCCGGATTTAAATCGGAAATATACGCGATATAACAAATATACGCGATTTAAATCCGGAAAAATAGTTTCATTTCATATCCAAACGTGTCAAATGTCAATTCCAAAAAAAAAAATCACAAACCAGATCATTTTCCCAAAGATTTTTCATAGTGTTTACTTTCTTTTCTCACTGTTGCCAAAATTATGAATCAGCTTGTATAATTGTCGGGTAATTAAAAGATAATGTAATTATCATAATAATTACTTTCGGTAATTTCGAACCATTTTAATTTGAAACTTTCGACACTAAATTAGAGGAAAAACAGTCAAAAGTTACTAAGTACAAAAAAATTATTACAACGGCAACACGAAATAGTGGTTTAATGGAAACACTGTTTAAAGTTGCAACCCTGAGCTGGGGGTCGATTCAGAACCTTACGATAACTCAATTGTCGACCGATTTCTTTTCATTTTTATTCACAACACCCGAATCGAACGTCAAACTGTAGTATTCGAAACCGAACCGAAATGACGTCACACCCGTACTCGAACTTCTTGACCGGCCAAAGCAACAAACGTTATTCAGCACACAGTTATCCAATGAAAGTTACAGAACGTCCTATTGTTTACAAAGCAAGAACGTAACATGGAAATCTCTTATTATTGCAAATAAATTTTATTAATTTTTTTTTATGCAAGAGTAATGCATTTCTATATTTGTGGTTAAAGAATATTTATTTCTCTTAAGAATATAAATTCACTTACAGAGAAAATTTAAGATCTTACTTCAAAACTTAATAGTAAAGCGCACTAAAATCTATACAACCATCACCATTCACGGCGTATTAAGAAAAATAATGTAGGTAGACAAAAATTAAAATCATACGTTTTGAGTTGAATTTATCTACAATTAGTTCCGATGAAGGTAGTTGCACGATGCGGCCGGCATTCACACGCAGCAAACAAAAACATGGATGTAAGAATTATGACTTATCCATCCCGCATCTAGATATGGCATAGACAGAATTCACTTTTTGGTTTTTTTTTTTTTCACTTTTAGGACAATTATTTAGTCACATGATTTATTTGTTTTATTTATTTATTTTTCTATTTTAGACCTTTGAAGTCTTAAAAATGTATATAAAAGGATTTTCATTTTATATGCAATCTATTTCATCGACTAACTCCGTAAACGCTGTTGAATAACGATATCGTATCCGAATAGAACGTTTAACTCGAATATTCTGAATAGCTCGGAAAGCCACGATTCGAGAACGAAATCCAATCGAATGATTCGGTTGAAATATCGAAGAATTCTGAATCAGAGCCCAGAAAAGGTAAACATGAATCCTGCTAATCGTATTTCATTGTAATTAACCATGCCCTTGTGATTAATGCGACGTACCTCAGCAGGAGTGTTGACCACGCCGATGTGGAAGCCCATCGGTAGAGAAGAGCCGAGCGTTGTCGCCACCCCAGCCAGGATGAGCCATAGCGACCATGAGCCTTTGTAATAGTGAGAGTGAGTTAGCTGCTGGTGTTCGTTGGAAGTCTGTAATAGATATTACTTAGATCTATAAAAATGGTAAGTAAGAAGTAAATTAATTTGCTACCCTGCGAAATCAGTGAAGGGTAAATATTGCAAAAATGACTGCGCTTGTGATGAATATTTTTTTCGTGCAATTCATTTTCCCACTCTCCCTCCGCATAAAATTAATAAAACAAATTATACAAACGCAACCTGAGTAGTAGTATTTTAACCATCACTGGTTTCGTAGAGTAGCAAATTATGACAGAGTAGTATTATTAGATTTGTTTTGAACTGATATTCAATAGTTTTTTTGTGAAATCACTCCACTAGTTTCTTATAATTATTAACACAAAGGCGAACCCTTAGAAAAAGTTCCTTCGATCCGGCCGGATTTGAACCGACGGCGTCTTTTAGCAAACTATGGCAGACACTATGCCAACTACGCCAAGGAACAAACCAGCGGAGCTTACAAATTTTTCTACGTGCTCATTTGTCGAATCTTCGTATTTATTGCCGTAGCGCCATCTATGAGAAATCTATGAAAGTCTTTCGTCACCCAGTTAGGCAGCTTTACAGCTACCAGGCCTGGCTAGAGATGTCGCTATTTTCTGTAATTAAATTTGTATTGAATTGATATTCTATTATTTTTTTATGTGAAATTACTCCACTAGTTTGTTATAATTATTAATACAAAGATCGAACACTTAGAAATAATTCCATCGATCCGGCCGGATCGAGAGCTAACGCTGCTATCAATCCGGCCGGATCTTCACTCGTATAGTAGCAAATTTTTATTTTATTAACATGGATTTCCGCAAAGTACCGCCTGAATCTATTAAATATTTAGATCATTTAATAATAATAAAAAAAATATTCCAGTCAATACAGTGGAAAGACTGGCAAAATGCCAGGTGTCCAAAGCCCGAGAGTATTCGTTTTTGATTTTTTTGCACTTATTCAACATTAACCCATTTTAACGTTCCAATGCTGGGGACGGGTCTCCTCTCAGGTTTAGGCCAAAATCCGCCACGCTGACCCAATGCGGATTGGGGACTTCACACGTTTTCGTGCAGGTTACCTCATAATATTTTTTCTTCAGCGAAAAGCTCGTGGTAAATTTCAAATTAAATTTCGCACATCAATTCCGAATAACTCAAGAGGCGCAAGCCCGGATTCGAACCAGCAGCTTTTGCTCGAGAGGTAGTAGGTCAAACCATTAGGCTACCACAACTTTGTACTTCTCATCATAACAAATACTAATAAACAATTAGTAAGACCACCAACACAGACCCTTGAGGTATTTAAAATGTGTCACGTGACGTTTGACAAATTAAAATTATAATCTTGGTAGGTAGCTGAAGATCATAGATTACGAGTAGACATAGTAAGCTGCTTATTTTTTAAACTTTAACAAGGTATGCTTTTTTAAAAAGCGTGCTTACAAAACAGCTTTTTACGTCATTGACTTACAAATAAATGGACGACGGGTCTAATACACAAACCACGAAAAAAATGTCCCAAGTCAACCTATTTAAACGTAGTGACATGTAAAGGAATATGAAAAAGCTAAAACGTTGAATTTAAATTGTAATGTCATCGCAGTACTGTCTAATTTTGCTTGCTTCGCTGTCAGTCGAACAAACGAAGACCAAAGCGTGAATGACGCTCTGTATACGATTTTAACGCCCTATAAGTTCGGACTCTTTTAGCGCGGACCCGACGTCCATATAATTGTAAGTACGAGTTTTATTTTTATTTATAAAATTATTCACATTGATGAATTTCTTTCGGAAACATAGATGGCGGGACTTGAAACATGTAAAAAATGAAACTGTTGAGTATTGAACTGGCCAACGCTTACGCTTAAATTGAAAAGCGTGCTTGTGTGCTTTTTTTAAGTGCTTGTCTTTTAAACGCACACTTTTAATTAGAGAAACCACAAACTTAAGCGTTCTTGTGTGCTTTTTTAAGTGCTTTTCGTTTAAACGCACACTGGTAATTAGAGAAACCACAAACTTAATTTTTCAAAGATCTCTTATCTATAATAAAAAATATGCCCCTGTATCGGCAACGTAGTGTGCCACATATGATGACCTTCGATACATTCTTGCTAATGAGTAAAAATATACTCGTTTGCAGCAGTTTTTCTGTAGTGCATATTGGTCACTGTCAGAGTATTTAGTAACACATTTATTTAGTTACGGACGTCATACTGCGATTAAACAATGTACTAGAGACGTCGTAAGTTATATACAACTACAATACGGAATTAACATATCTAAAATCATCTTAATACTTTAAATAGTAAAATGATATAATACATTGTAGCCCCAGGGTCTAATGCTTAATTATTACTGTTAGATAATTTAAAATATATTTTCATAAAAAAATTTCTACTTACGAATTTCAATGCAATCTTCTTAAAAAAATCTACCCATATTTTGAATCTTAAATCTAAAATATTTTATATGTAGAATCACAAGGCACGACATAGTAACGCTGTGGCAGCCGCTCCGATGTCCACTGCGGCTGGAAGCACCGAGCAGATTGCGAATAACGGCCAGTACCAGTCGCAAAGCCAGCTCTCCAGAACGAAATATGAGAGCGCGATCATCGCGAACCCGTGACACGATATCGCTGATTTATTGTTAAGGAATTAACGCTCGACTGAAGATAGCCTCGGAGATGGCTGCCTATTATAGACAGCAAATAAAAATAACATTCTTTTTTTTAAATGATGGCAGACGCGCGGCCGCGCCGCACATATCAGTGTGCCAGGGTTCATATGAACTCGTACATTACAATTCCTGAGTACGGAACGCTTCCGCGGCCGCCTGTCTGGCCTTAGCATTACTCGGTCTCGAAAATGCTAAACAATCGACGAGATCGAAATTCCCGAGATAAGCAGTAGCCATTATTAACCTGTTGTTACAGTGAAATGTTAATAGGTGATAGACAAGGTTGCGCAAAGCGATCAATAAAGGAGATAGAGAATGTTATAAAGGATACAGATGAGAGATGTATTAGATGCAAACATGGTTAGTCCCAAGATGAACGTGAACAACTCAAACAGAACGAGTGCTACGCCCGTCGCGAATCCTGCTACCAACCTGTAATAAGGTTTGTCATGAGTCAACGGCAAGAAAAATCACCATACATATTAACGCAGGCTTGAACCGGTCAGAAAAATCTTTCTATAAATACATGCGATATAGTCATCTCGAGTTCTTAGATTTTCCACGTTGTTACACATTGGAAATGAAACTATGTTTTCGGATCTAAGTCGCGTATATTAAGAAACAAACAAACCAATGTTTCGGATCCTTTACAGGTCCCATGGTCACGGCTGACTGAGATGGTAAGTCATCGATCATTGAATTGATCGTAAATTACCTTATTTTTCTCTTTATTTACAGTCGTCTTCACTAGTTTTGTTCCCGCTGGTGACAAATGAGAAAAAAGAAACCTTGTCACCAGGTGGTGATAAATGGGATAATAAAATCTCAGTTGTAGCCAGTAGTGATTCCCACTGGCGAGAAATGGAATTAAAAACCATATGTTGCCAGCTCTACAAATCCCTATACCTGTTACTAGCATTTCTATTCACTGGGGGGGTCTACTCCTTTTCTATGTCCGAAACCAAATTAAAAAACGTATGATGCGATTGAAGTTTCATACATGACATTGTCTTTTGTTTGGGTTGATTATTACTTTTTTTTAACCGACTTCTAAAAAAAGGAGGGTTTTCAATTGGCTTTTCGGTTTTTTTTTTTTTTTTTGTATGTATGTTACGCGATAACTCCGGTATTTGTGAACCGATTTTCACGATTCTTTTTTTGTTGGAAAGGGGTACCTTCATAGTGGTCCCATTTCATTTTGAAGAAAATCATCCACCTCTGAGGGTAGCTGATCACGCATGAACATTCATTTTTATAAATAGCGCCTAAATTTTACTTAAGGAGCAATTATTTTAATGGTTGGTTTTGCTATTCTCCAATTCAAGGCGTTTTTCTCTCTCAATATATACTTTGAGTAGTGAGAATCGATTTTTATTATCTCCTGTGGCAAGTCCTGTATAGTGGCGAACTAGGGGATATTTCAATAAAACTTGGCAAACAGATGTAATTCCACGTACTTTTAAGGCCGGTTTTTTTAGTACTCTGTACTGAGATTATTTCGTACGAAATAGACCCCCTGCATGGTCGGTGTAGAATCGACACCTTGTAAGTGATTTCGATGTAATTTAAAAAAAATGTATTGTAAAAATTTATTGGCGTATTTTGTTTGTAGTTTTAGGCGTTTATTTTTTAAGGTTAAAACACCATTTTCGATTGCCTTACAAGTTAAAACATACATCCAAACTGTACGAGTTAAAACGCCCAACTGATGTACTCATAACGTGGCCATTATATTTTACCCACAAGCCTCTCGTTCTGTTTTAAAAATAAGTAAAACACATGTTTCTGATATTTACAATAAGTTTCATGAATAAAAAAATGTAAAAAGAACTTAAATTTTTAATGATTACCAATTTAAAAAATAAAGGAATCTTGTGTAGTCTGATGGACTATCTTTTTTTAATGTCACGTGCTTCCTGTTTTGTCAAAGCGGGACATTGTTCTGTGTTTTGAGGATAGCGGGACACGTACGTAAGATTACGTTAGGTATTTACCAAACGATGATTGGTAATACGTACTAGAACTTCTCAAGTTATCCAGTTAATGGGTAGAAATATTATATCAATTATTTAAAAAAATATACATATGATTAAATTTTTATTGAATTGATATTCAATTAGTTTTTGTGAAATTACTCCACTAGTTTGTTATAATTATTAATACAAAGATCGACCACTCAGAAAAAATTCCTTCGATCCGGCCGGATTCGAACCGACGTCTTCTTGCATACCGTGCCAGACGCTATACCAACTAAGCCACGGAACGAACCAACGGATCTCACGAATTTTTCTATGTGCTTGCGTCGTATCTTTGTATTTGGTCTTTCAACGACTTTTTAGTCGTAGCGCCATCTATGAGAAGTCTATGACAGATTTATCATCCAGTTAGTACCTTTACAGCTACCAGTCCTGGCGAGAGATGTCGCTATTCACTGTATTAATTAAATTTTTATTGAATTGATATTCAATTATTTTTTGTGAAATTACTCCACTAGTTTGTTATAATTATTAATACAAAGATCGAAGGAATTTTTTCTGAGTGTTTTTTTCTGAGTGTTCGATCTTTGTATTAATAATTATACATGTGATACTAAAATGAAGAGGCACGTATCAAGAGGCACGCTAACCTTGCCTTTTATTATTTATAATCAGAAAAAAACTTAAATGTGGTTAAAAAGAATGTGGAATCAAGACGATTTATATTTTTAATTCAATAAATAAAATTTGAAAATTGCAATATTTTCAATCTGTTATGTAAGCACCAAACGCACCACGTGACGTCATATATAGGTAATGAAAGAGAATAGGATGGAATACGTTTACTTGCCAGAATACAGTAATGGTAAATTTGTATTTGAGAATTCTTAGTATTCTTTATTACTACAGAAGCAATGTGTCAAAAGACATTTTGCCAATTGTAATTTAAAAGTATGTCCTTGTAACAATTTAATTTCATTTGGTAAATTATTGAAAATAATTAAATACGTGTTGAAACAGTTTTTCTTATAAATTACTTTATGGCAGCGAGGTTGGTACAAAAGATTTATAGTTTTGGTTCTAGTTTGCCTTTGAATCATTTCACCGCGTCTTTTGAAATATTGAGGATAAGTTGTGACAAATACATCAAAGGCAGTATGATGTAGTTTTTCGTTGTTGATACGTCGCCGTAATCACCGTTCGCGTATTATCTTGTAAAAACTGTATAAATTTTGGATTGAAGACAGTGTATGTATACGTAAAATTCTCGCAAGTGGCAAGTGAGCACTTTGTCATAAATAATACAGTACAATATCATGGAGTCTGTTTATCTACCAATGACGTTACACGTTCTGAGTTGACATGTAATGCCGTTTGCGTGACAATATTTTAAATTACATTCGAGTTTTAGGGACTTGAAAAGCATTATTTACAAATATAAACGACTGACAGGGTCTATAAAAGCCCTCTGTATTATATTTTGTAACATCTTGTTAGCATTATGGAAAAGAGATAAAGTATTGAATATCATGTGGTTAAGATTTTAAATACTTTCTGGAAACTTGTCCCATTCCTTAACAAACGTCTGTACGAACATTATTTCATTAAAATGTAAACTCAAAATCCCTAGACTTATTTTAGAAGACAATATTATTTTGAAATCAGTCACATCGCACTGTTAATAAAATAGCGTATTAACTGAAAAAGTGGACTTTCTCAGAATCGATGAAGAACGAATTACTCACTTCCCGCAAAAAATCATTAAAATTTATATGTTATAGTTTACAATAGACACTTAAACAATTTCTCAAATATATTTAAAAATAAAATGGAAAAATTAATTTCATGTTTTTGAATAAGGATTATTTTGTCCAGAACTAGCTCACATACAGTGTGTCTCTTTTTGAGTTAAGCAGATGTCTTTTGATTGTTTCTTACAATATTCTAACGACGGTTTTTTTAACGTGTAGAGAATCAAATTTTACGCTCAGCAATGATATAATATTAAACTTCACATATTTTTAGTTACAACATATATGCTATAGTAATAGCAGTGCGACTTGTTCTTGTATTCACAGAAAAACGCTGATGTCTGAAATACAGATTATTAATTATCTAGTTCAGACACTTGCCCTAAATGCAATATTGCGAGCGTAACACTGTCAATGTGAAAATTGTCTGTAAGTTTCTGAAATAAATAAATTTAATACATATTAACGTTTTGTTTTCCTTGAAATAGACAACTGCAATCGATTATGTAAAGCGTTTAAACTATATTTTTATTTTTTAACGAAAATAAATCATACCGGTGTAAAATGGTCGCTTTTTTTTGGAGAACTAAGTAAACAACCCGAATTGTCCGTCGGACAGCTATTGACCGCTATATGGCAGCACATTTATTGAAATTGCAATATACTAACAGTCTACATCTTTTTAAGTTAAAAACTACGACCGATCATTTTCAAGATTTTATAGTGTTTATATGATTGTGTGAGTTTTGTTGAGTTTGTTTTATGTAAGACTGATTAAAAACACTCGTGACAAAATAGTGTCAACTTACAAGTAGTTACAACTGACTCTATAAAAAATCAATAAAAGGGGTCCAAGACTGACTATGACTAGACACTGGCAACATTCTCCAAGAAACGCCAGAATATAAACTAAAACCTAGCTGTTTTTGTCGTCACAAGTGTAAAAACTGTGTGTTACTAAATAATCTACAGATTATTTGAAAATATTCACGTACAATGACTCAATGAAGTTGAAAACAAAATATTTATTGGCGGAACCACAAATGTATTTAACGAGTAAATATTTACAATCCATTGATAAGGTCTCGGCACAAATTCAGAAATTTGCACGTACATCAATTTCAAGACATTAAAGTAATATATTATAATATACTAAGAGTTCGAAGAGGTTTCATACCCTTGACCCTTGGCTCATTTCCAGAAAATAAAACGTGTACGCCTTCGATCACAGGCCGCGGACATCAAACAACACAGGAAAATTGATATCGATAAAAATTTTCTTGCGATGCGCCCTTTTACCGAGACTGTACTAATCACGGGTCTAGCATTGGAACGCACTTTCCAGCCTTTAATCAGTTATCCCGTTTTATTGCGGAGTTTAAACCGAAATCTTACAAGAAACAAAGCGCCACACTGATTAATTTAAAAATATATTATATAAAAACACATACTACGCTGGCTGAAGACGACGAGACTGTTGAACCCATAAATTGATCTGCGGCAAACTTTTTTCGAAACTCCTTCCGCAGAAAAGACGCTTCGGTAAATTGCGACCACAGTGTAAGACAGTCGCGGACCCTTGGGAAGAATCTATTACGAATAGAAGAATTTAATCGATTTTTTATCGAGTAAAGCGATATCGGTAGATCGCGAACCACGGAACCGCACCCACTACGGCAGGCAAGACGCCGAGCTACCATAACAC